TTTGTTGTGGTACTACTGTATCACATAGTGGTCCTTGATCCAGGTTTTTTATTTTATATTTATTACAACTCACTATTAAAACAAGAGGTAGAAGAGGTTCAGATAAGAAAAACAGCGAAACAGTACTGACCAGGGTGATAGAGACCAGTCCTGGCAGAACTGCACACTTTCATTACATTCGTAGGTATTATTTGGCAAAAGTATTAGCAGGAAAATGATTAAGCTGTTTAGATACCCTTAAGGGGTTCCTTTGAAGCATAAACAGGCAGCGTGGAAGATTGCACACAGATGCTTTTAGGGAAATGTAACACATCGGGAATGAAGGTTGGCAGTAGTGATAGATGTCATTTTGAGAGGGTGACAACTTGGTCAGAATGCTATGGTTGGAAGTAAAGTGGCAGTTTTTTGTTTTTAAAAAGGACTTGCACATTTAAAAAGTAATGATTGGCCAATGTATTGAAGACAAGAGTGGACCAAAAATAAAATGGTTTTAATCTGCATGTCTTAGTATTATTTTAAGTTACTGTAAATAGTCGAAGTTTAGTTATGCCTCATGGTGAAAAATTATGTGCTATTCAGGAAACTTATTAAAAATGTTATCTTTTCATCTTCAGAAGCTATTTCTCAAGGAAGAGTTGTGCCATATTTGTTTGAAAATACTTTCAAGATTGTCTTTGTGTAGTTTATGAACAGTCTGGTGGGCTGCACACTGGAAGAAGAGTGCTGTCGTGGGATTCTGCCGTTCTGAATGGAGAGAAGGGAAACCTAGCAAAAGAGAGCAAATTTTCCCTCATAAGTTGTCAGAAAGACTTGCCCTTCTCAGTGGACTGTACAAAGGATTTAGACAATTATGTTAAACAGGTTTCCTCATCTTGCTTTGACTTTCCCTGTCTCCATGCTCTGTTTTCTAGTGTGTCACCTGAAATGAGATACCAGGGTACATAATAAGCAGTGGATTGGTTTCCAGCTGATATAATTGTATTGTAGAGGCACTGCTCTGCTTGCCTATCTCTTTTCTGAGATATTATTATTCTGTTACCAATCTCCTAAGTAACCTTGAAAGAACTACTGATGTTGTTTATAAAATCAATGAGTTTACAATGTTTAGAGGGATTCTGAAAAATATCACATGGAGAGGAAAAAGGATGCCCTGTAGCATTTAATACAACTTGGTGAACAGTGTGTCAGAAAGAAAAAAAGAAAAAAAATCAATTTAAAATGACCAGCAAGTTATAGAAAAACGCAAGCATGCCTCAAGGTTCAAACATGTGATGTGTGTTTTACCGTGCTGTGCACTGTAGTTAATGTTCATAAGTTTAGTTTCTAATTTAGCAGAATCATTCTGTAATAAAAACAAAGTATATTTGTCCCATACATTCAACATTCTTGAGATGACAGCAGTTAAATCAGCTGTTTCTTTTAGAAAATATTTCAGTTACAGTTGGCATCCCCAGGTATTTTTGGTGGCTTTTTTTGGCAGTGCTCCTTCTTCAGTGGGTGATACACAGAAGTCATGGTGCTTCCTTGCAGACATTGTGCTGCTGGTGGCCTCGTTTTTCACGGAAGAGAGAAATTAAAGTATTGAGTGTGCTGAGTGATGACATGTCATAGACAGCTGGGTTCAAGTGGAAGTGCCCAGAAGTAGCCACTGTCCAGATCTTGAGATAATTAGGAAATCCACAGTACATGGTCCTTTTCCATTTCAAACATGCAGACTGTATTTATTTAATGTTCTGAATTACTGTTTTGCTATGTGGAGTTTTGACTACAGAAGTTAGTGGTTGATTAAATATGCACTTGATGCATAATTTCTAAGGCAGAAAAGTAAGTTTTACTTGTGATGAAGGTATTTTGAAAGCAAAGGTTGTCGTAATCCATGAGTGATCAATATTTAATTACTTGAAGGTTTCAGGGTATAGGCAATGCCTCTTCTGTGTAATTTGCAGATCCTGCAATGTGTGTTCTTTGAAAGTATCAGGCTTAGCACTTAAAATGCTAAGCTATTCCTTTTGTCAATTCTGTATAATAGAAGTGTATCAGTAATTCAGTAACAAAAAAACACAGTTTGCAATATTGCTTCCATTCTTACTTTTGAGGTAGAGTCTCTGTTTTTGAGTAAACTAACTTGTAGTGTTTATAATTAAGGAGAGATTTGGTAAGTTTTCTTTGATGTGAAGTGTTTTACCAATTGTTTGCCGAGTTCAACATTAATTAAAATGAGAGTTTTAAAAATAAATTAATTCAGTCATAGTGAAGTACTTGTTAGTATTTATTTGGTTAGGTAAGTTTGTAGCATATGGAATAGTCTAAAACCTTCTAAAAGGACAAATTTTAAAGTCGTAGTGGAATAGCCCTTACAGAAAATTTGGAATTCTATTGTACTTAAAACTTCTCAAAAACGGAAAAAATATGTTAATTCTGAACACTGGGATCAATTACAAAATGGTAAATTTTTCACAGATATTTACAGTGGGGTTTTTTAGTTTGTTTTCAATTATTTTCACAGGCTGATCCAAAAGAGCTGATTCAGATGGTCACAAAGCATGTTACTCAGCATAGCTATACAGACTGGCCTGAAGAAATTGCTAATTTGATAAATCAGCTGCATTACTACAATGAACGACTGCTGGATTTCACTCAAGCTCAGATTCTGCAAGGACTTGGCAAAGGAGTGGATGTGCAGAGGTTTACAGCAGATGGACAGTACAAGAGAGAAACAATACTAGGACTGGCAGAGTAAGTAATGTCTATTTTGTTTATTTTCTTTATTTTAAAATGGAATTACTTTAAGCTTTAAATCAGGAAAGTAAATTGAAAGTAGTGCTGACCTTTAGAAGGGATAAGTTACCAATTGCTTTAGATATTTACACTGTAATACTGCTTCAATTGGAGCCTTTTCTGTTCAACTATTCCACTTAAATGAAATGTTGCTCAAATAAATGGATCAATAACTTCTTGTGGAAGCTATAACTCTTTGTTTATGAACTGCTAATATTAAAGTTAATCAGGGATGAGTGAAATCAGAGCATAGGTGGAGGTCTGATCTCTTCCTTTCATCTCCTGTAAAGCTCCCCTAGCAATCTTATTAGGATATGCCCAAGCATCAAAGTTTGTAATGAACTATATTTTTAAAAGAAAAAAGTAATAAATGTATTTTATTTTTAATAATTTAGCTACAACTGCTGTATATTACAGTATTTTTTACCCTGTAGTCATTTGGAATTACTGAAGCCTCCACTACACATGTTCTGATATTTAGAATGCTTTTGTCTCACCTTTCAGTTATCCAGAATAGAAAAAAAAGAAAATATATAGGACTGTCTTTTCATTTTAAATACCTTTAATTAACATCTGCATGCAGGTGTTTTAAGCTGTGAACAAGTCATGATGGTACTTGAAGACAATCCAGTTGAATAGCTGCTAGACTATCAAAGGAAGAGTTCTGTGTAATAAGAAGCTTTTACTATAATTTTTAACCTAATCTTAAACTAACCTATGCATAAAGGTTTTGAAGAGCATATGTAGATGTTTACAGTCTTCCACCTATGTATCTGCTCATAGCTACAGTTCCAGTAGAAATTTGTTAGTAAAAAACATTGATATGAAATGCTAAATAAGAATAGTAGTATAACCTCAGGTTTTGAACACTAACTAGCTGCTGCTTTGCACCCATAAAATCTATACCTGCATAGATTTTAGCACTACATTCATAAAAATAGTTTGTAAGTGTCTTTTAATGTTTCCATTGAAGTTACCTGTTTTGTATGTGTTTTCCATTGATCATATATCATCATTTCATTGATCATATATCATATCAGTAGTATGTTACTAGGGGAATGTTACATCTTGATGATTCTCTACAGGAACTTCGATGCAAAAATCCTTCTATTATTACAGTTTTGGGTTTTTTTGATGCAGCATGCTTACTTACATTCTCTTAGATGAGAATGTAAGTCTTTCGATACCGTCTTTTGTAAAAATAAAGTAAATACGAAGAGAAAATTCCTTGCAGTAAGTAGAGATTGAAACAATATAAAAGGCTTAGTAAAAATAAGGCTTCATAGCATGTGGATGTTAGTGGTAGTTCCATATTAGGCAGTTGCAAAGACCCAATTAATTGTTCAGCTTGCAGCTTCCTTGCTTTAATCTTCTCACTTGACTTTTAATCTGCATTTACTAATGAAAACAGTGTGCGAACTTAATGTATTTGTGGAGCATATTTTTTCTTATTTTTGAATTATCATTAAATGCCTGATGTTTTGAATCTTTTATGAAGTGCTATTTGCAGGAACAACACCTGGAAGAGATGGTGTCTTATTTACAAAACAGCTTTGTACTAGAATGAGCAATTTGTTTGCTAAAACTACCTAAATTGTTGTTAGTTTTAGCTTCCATATTTGATGTATTGTCATTAGAGCTTATTGTGCATTATTTATCAAATATTTAAAGATCTGAGTGCCTCACAGACTTAATCAAGTTTAGTTCTCATGCAGTTTACAATTTATTTAGGCAAAATAGAGCCAGAACATATCTAGGAAGGAATTAGGGAAAATAGAGCAAGACTGAACGGAAATTCTTGGGTAATCAGCTGAAGTGTGAACACAGATAGTGTTCTCATCAGTGCTTCCAGTCGTGGGGCAGGGATCTACAAGGGCCAAACGTATCTGGCAGGTTAACTCATGGCTCAGGGACTGGTGCTACAGCCAGGGCTTTGGGTATTTTGACCATGGGGTAAATTTTGAGAAGCCTGGATTGCTAGGGGCAGATGGCGTGCACCTAACCGAGAAAGGGAAGAAGGTGCTTGGACAAAGGCTGGCCAGACTTGTGCAAAAAGCTTTAAACTAGTATTGCTGGGGGAGGGGGAGCACAGTTCAGCCCACCGCTGTCAGCATGGCGCCAGTGCCAGCACCGAGGGTCCAGAGGCTGAGGAAGGATCACAGGTATGTTCAAATGAACTTATGCTGCCACCCAAGAGAACCCCTGTCGCTCCAGCCAGCGAGTCGGCTTTGTCGGGAGCCCAGCTAAAGTGTATGTACACCAACGCACGCAGCATGGGAAATAAACAGGATGAGCTGGAGATGCGTGCACATGAGCAGGGCTACGACCTTATTGGCATCACGGAGACGTGGTGGGACGACTCCTATGACTGGAGTGTCAACATGGAGGGGTATAAGCTTTTTAGAAAGGACAGGAAGGGGAGACGAGGAGGGGGTGTCGCTCTCTATGTCAGCAACCGGCTGGAGTGCGTGGAGCTTCGCCTGGGGTCGGAGGACGAGCTGACAGAGAGCTTATGGGTCAAGATTAGAGGACGGGGACGGATAGGGGATGTTACGGTAGGGGTCTGTTACGGGCCACCTGGCCAGGAGGACAGAGCAGATGA